ACCTACTTTGAATTTAACTTACATAAACCTTACTCAGCTTAACATGGTTTAATCTAGTACATTCCAAACTTACCTAATCTCATCTGATTAAACTAAACCTAACTTAACCTGGTATAGCTCATCCTCATTTGACCTAACCCAATTAAACCCAACCTAATTTATCTTTAGTACAGTCCCAACTAAATAACCCAACTAAACCTAACCTAGTATAATTTACCTTTATTTGACCTATTCATCGTCAAACCCAACCTAACCTGCCTTTAGTAAAATCTAAACCTAATGAAACCACAATAAACCTAAACTAACTCTAGTGCAATTTAAACCAAATCTAACCGCATTAAACCCAACCAAACCCAAGTACAATCTAAACCCAGCCTAATTCAACCAAACCTAAATTTCAACCAATCTAACCTAGTATAGTCGACCCTTATTTCACCTAACCCAAACATAACCCTACCTTTTACCTTTCCTAACTATTTCTAACTATATAACTATTTCCTTAAACCTATCCTAACTAGAACACTCTAAACCTAATCTAACCCTAGTATAATCTAAATCTAACCTAACCTAAAATTAAGGTAATTTAAACCTAACCTAACTAGCATGATCTAAACCTAACCTAACCTAACTTTGATACAATCTAAACCTAACCCGATTTAACCTAAATTTCAACCAACCTAACCTAATTCCATCAGAGTAGTTGCCACACGTAATCTACTTTAAGGTCTTAAACACTTCATCTACCTCTCTACCGGTGCTCAGGCCAAGGACAACGGCCAAAGATTTACTATCTACCATAGATTTTTGGGCGATTTTTTTGTTATAATTCTTTTTACTTGTACTAGTATGGAGAGTGTTAGGAGTTGAGGAATGGGGTGTGGAGGGGGAGGGGAGAGAGGTGGGGTTTGGGTGTAGAGGGGGGAAGGGAGGGAGGGTGTGTGGGTGAGTATGTGTGTGAGTGTGTGTGTGTGGTGTGTGTGTGTGTGTGTGTGTGTGTGTGTGTGTGTGTGTGTGTGTTGTGTGTGTATGGTGTGTGTGTCTGTATCTGTAATTGTGAATGTTAGTCTGTGTATGGTATGTGTATTTTTTTTTTTTTTTTTTTTTTTCTTTTTTTTTTTTTTTTTTTTTCTTGTACGTACGGGTAGGTAAACATGTGTGCATTTACACATACGATCATATGTATAAGATGGCCGACAGCATTACCCATTTCACTCCCAATTATCACCAAATGAAAAAAAAAATCATATTAAGCTCCGAGATAAAAAGAAAAAAGAAAAAGTATCATAAGAAGGATTCGAACCTTTGTCTAAGATTTAATAAAAGTCGTAAGAAGGATTCGAACCTCTATACCGAGGCGATTCGAATCCTTATGAAGCATTTGAAGGCCGCCTTACACGAGTGGAGTTTTATCTTGGGAGCCAGTGAACTGTGTCCGACCTAAACCACTTTCTAAGGGTTTTTTTCTCTCTTTTTTTTTTCTTTCTGATCATGTTATCTGTTCTCTTTCTTCTCTTTGCCTTTTTTTTTTTTTTTTTTTTTTTTTTTTCTTTCTGTGTATCTTTTCTCTTTCTGTCTTTTGATCCCTTCTCAGTGTGCCAGTCTTTCTCTCTCTCTCTCTCTCTCACACACACAACTCACACACAACACACACACACACACACCACACACACACACACACACACACATACTCACACACATCTATATATCTCAGTCACATCACATAACCAACCCTACATCCATCCATCCATCTATCTAATCCACATTATCCATCATCATTGATTATCATTCATCCATCCATCAATTCTATCTATCTATCTCCATCCATCTATCTATCCCATCCCTCAATCTCCTCTCTCCTTCCCTTATTCTGTCTATCATCATCCCACTATCTCCCTTTCATCTTCATCAACCTCTTTTCTCTCCTCCTACCTCTTTTCCCCTCTCCTCCCTCCCCCTCCCCCCCCTCTCGTTTACAATCCTCTCTTCTCTCTTCCTTCTCCCTCCCCCTCTCTCTCTACCACCCCACCATCTCCTCTTCATCTCCTTCCCCACTCTCCACTATCTCCTGTCATCGCCTCCCTCCTTCTCCCTCTCTCACAATCTCTCCTTCATCCCCATCCACCTCTCTCACTATCTCTTTATCTCCACCCACTCTTCTCTCCTCCTTCCCTTCTCCCCTTTCTCCTTGAGGTTGTGTGCATGCGATCTAGAAAATTAATGTTGACAAGGGCACATGATGGGTCCGTTGGGAACAGCTGCTCTTTGGTCATTTGCCAGAAGAGATTGCCAAAGGTTCTGAACATATGATAAGGGAGCTCTTGAGAGAGAGAGAGAAGAGAGAGAGGAGAGAGAGAGAGAGAGAGAGAGAGAGAGAGAGAGAGAGAGAGAGAGAGAGAGAGAGAGTATATATATATATATATATAATATATATATATATATATATATATATATATATATATATATATATATATATATATATATATTATATATATATATATATATAACGAGTTTGATATGTATGATTAGCTTACGTGGAGGTATGATAGAGAGAGAGAGTGGGGTGAGGGATGGAGGGAGGGAGAGAGAGAAGAGAGAGATTAATTTGTCCTCACACTCATACTCACTCTCTCTCTCTCTCTCTCTCTCTCTCTCTCTCTCTCTCTCTCTCTCTCTCTCTCTCTCTCTCTCTCTCTCTCTCTCTCTCTCTCTCTCACACACACACACACACACCTATCTGTCTGTCTGTCTCTGATTGTGTATTTTGTTTTTATGTCTCGTAATTCCCTTGCCAGTGCAGGGAAAAGTAGAAAAGCAAAAAACAACAGCAATAAAATGTCTGACTAGGACACAGACCACTAACGAGAACAAGAAAGGAGAATAAGAATTAGATAAACTAGGAGAAGGAGAAGAAAACACGAACAAGCATAGTAGAAAGAAAGTGTCACTTGTCGCCATGAGATGCCGGCTTGGCCAAGGTCACGACGAAGGGAGCAACTCATGTCAGCTTCTCTGCTCTCCCCTGGGCTCCTCTGGGGGGGGGGGGAGTGAGGGAGGGAGGGTGAGGAGGGGAGGGGGGGAGAGGGGGGGAGGAGAAGGGGAAGGTGAGAGGGAGGGTGGGAGAGAGGGGGGGGGAGGAGAGGAGGGTGGGAGAGAGGGGGAGGTGGGAGGGAGGAGAGGGGGGAGCGGAGGGTGGGAGAGGGGAGAAGGGAGAGAGGGGGAGGGTGGAGGGAGGGGGAGGGGGAGGGGGAGAGGGGAGGGAGGAGAGGGGAGGGTGGGAGGGAGGGAGAGGGGAGGGAGGATAGAGGAAGGGAAGGAGGATAAGATGGAGAGATGGAAGAGTAAATAAAGACAGAGAGAAGTAAAAGATTTTTTCTCCTAGAATGTCATTCATATATATTCAAACTTCTAACATAATCAATTTACGAACATTACATTTGAATAAAAAAATACTAAATAAATATTCTTGCCTAAGCTTTTTTTATCATCATTATTCCTCACACATCCCGCATTAACTTCAGACACACTTCCTAAAAAAAGAGAGAGAAAAAAAAAGTTGACATCGTTGCATAAATCTACATAAGTCTTCCCTAACACAGATCAGGCCATCCCGTTTTCTATGACTCAACCACGAACCAGAATGTAGTTTTTAATCTTGTCTTCAATTTTTTTTTCTAGTCTCTATCGCATTTATTAGTGGAGGTAGGACACTCGCATAATAAATTTTCCAACTAAAGAGGTGACCAATATGACTCGAAACGTGATACCTATGTTATTTTTCTTTATTACGGCTGTTGTTGCATTTCCTTTCATCTTCGTAAACATCATAGTCTTCTTGACCTAAAATCCTTCCTATCTTTATAGAACATTACCCCCCCCCATGACCTTTGACCTGGATCGACATCGACTTCATTCTATTTGACGATGGCATGAAAGGCAAATCAAGATGACTTCTCGTTTTCTTTAACACTAAAATACACGGCTAGCTTTCTCGTATGCGTTGAAACCACGGAATAAATAACTTAATTTTGTGATCTTAAACCGCATAAGGGTAAATTATTATTTTTTTTCTTTAGCGGAATAATATTTTTATCTTGTTCGTGCTATCAAATAAATATATTTTATGTATTATTTTTTTCTCACTGGTCTTATTTGACAAGATTTGGATAACTAGCTAACATGGCATCGAAATCACCGAATAATTAACTTGCTCTTGATGTATTTCTGAACGTTGCTTTAACCTTTTATTTTTCGTGTGAGATATAAAAGAAACAATTTCAGGTCCATTTACGAATGTCATGTCTGCATTAGTAATCTAATTGATATGGGGTTTATTTGAGTGTCTATTTTTGGCTGATATATAAGTGAATACATGCTAGTATTACGTGTCAGTAGCATGTAGATATTATATTTTGATGATTGTTATAACAATATTGTTAGTGTTATTATTATTAGTAGTAGTAGTAACAGTAGTAGCAGTTGTTGTAGTTGTAGTTATAGTTATAGTTATAATTGTAGTTGTAATTGTAGTTGTAGTTATAATTGTAGTTGTAGTTGCAGTTGTAGATGTAGTTGTAGTTGTTGCAATTGTACTTGTAGTTGTAGTTGTTATTGTAGTTGTAGTTGTAGTTGTTGATACAGTAATAGTTGTATCAGTAAAAACAACAGCGACAGTAATAGCACTAGCAACAGTCCCTACCTAGTCCTAACAACCAACACTAGTACCATTAATCCTTATTTCTCTAAGGATCATCTCACTCGCTATTAATAACAATCAAATCTATCTCAAGCAATATTTGTCTCAGTTTAATACCATGTCCCTTTCTCCTCCCCGCAGATTGTGTGGCCGGGACTGCGTTCGTGGATTAGCGTCTGCGCGTGACGAGACAACCCTGTTATCTGCCCGCGTGACGTCATCAAGAATTTAACCGAAGCGGGAAGAACATTATAAGTCTATGTTGTAAAATTTCTTGTGAATTCGCTACACGGAAACTTTTTTTTTT